GTGCACACGTGAGAAGTGGAACGAAAATCATACATGATTCCAAACATTTTTTACAAATAAATAACTGCAAAGTGGGGTGTGCGTAATTATTCAGCCCCCTGAGTCAATACTTTGTAGAACCAGCTTTTGCTGCAGTTCCAGCTGCCAGTCTTTTAGGGTCTGTCTCTACCAGCTTTGCACATCTACAGACTGAAATCTTTGCCCATTCTTCTTTGTAAAACAGCTCCAGCTCAGTCAGATTAGATGGACAGCGTTTGTGAACAGCAGTTTTCAGATCTTGCCACAGATTCTCGATTGGATTTAGATCTGGACTTTGCCTGAGGTCCAGTGGATAAGTTCAAGGGGGCCGAATACTTTTGCAAGCCACTGTATGTAGCTTGCTGGAGATCGTGTTGTAGGGTCCTGGCGGTGCTCCTAATAGCCCGTGTCCTGGTATCTCTTCCACACTCTTTGGCCTGTGTTTCCTTGTGACGGCACGTATCTCATCCTAGATGAGGTGAAATACCCGTGTAACTATGATTGGTCTGCAAGTATTGTCTCGTGACACTGACAGTGACGAGGACATAAACAGAAAGCAAAATTAGAGAAAAATCAGCCCGGAGGGATGAGGAGGAATCAATGACCTGCGAAACCGTTTCCTCTTTGGAGGTTGTCATGTTGTTGCTCTCCAGAGCGCCTGTTCTCACTTTGATTTGCACCAAAGCAGCTGAAAAGCATTCAGAGTGGTTTGTGCTTCCGGCTGATGTCCCTGAGGGTTACCCGACTTTGTGCTGGACTGTGATGATCAAGTGATCCCTTAATTTCTTTGAGCTGTCTTTCTCAGATCATCCGCTTGCCTTCCTGTGGTCCCAATTTGTGTTAATTTGAGATTTTATACCTACTGTTGTATCAGCTTTTTAATATTAAGCTTTACACCAACCAGCGCAATTTCAGTTTCTTATACGAGGATTAAACAAAACAATTAATCAAATTGTATGAATACTGAATCATCTAATAATGTGAAGGCACAGCAGTCTTTTGTTTTGAAATGTTTTCAACAGGAACTGAAAATAGATAAACTGTCAAATTAAAATGTTCGGGAGCATTAGTGAGAGACGCAGAGACGCATCGTTCGGTGTGAAACAGACTCTATGTGTGAATTCTGTTTCTATTTTAGTTTCATTAATCCCATCAGATTAATATGGTGGAGTGCTGCGTGGGGGGAGGACAGAGGGGGAGGCAGGTTTCATTTCTGAGGTTTGGAGGATTAGAGACACGAAATCCTCTTTTCCTCATGCCTCCTCCAAAAAAGAAAAAAAACAAACCCGAACACAGTTTAAATTAGTCATTCCACACTGTAAAAAACATCACACCGTGATGAATAAATCACACTTTTCATTCACTGGAGTTTCATCTAATCTGAGTATATTTTCATTACACTGCAGTATTCCTGAGGGTGTGTTTGTTTTCCTTACCTTTGAATTTGCCGCTCTCCAGCAGAGCTCCGGACTCCTCCAGAGAGAAAAATTCCTCGATGGAGACAAAGTTGTAGTCCACACCTGAAATCTCTCCATCTCGAGGCTGCCTGGTCGTACCTTCAGGGAGGGCAGAGTCATGTGATCACTGGGTGTACGCTGGACAGGTTTTGTGTTGTTAGAGAAAGTGAATCAGAAGATGAGGGTACAAACAAGGGTATGTTCTTCCTAGAGATGGCACGATACCACTTTTTTAAGTCCGATACCGATATCATAAATTTTGATATCTGCCGATACCGATATGAATCCGATATCGTGTGTTTTTTAATCAATAAAACTTTTTTTAATATATTGCTGCATTTTGTATAAGTTCATACTCAA